TCGTTTGTGGCCGGAAGTTCGAGACCAGACTGGTCAACAAAGTGAGACCGATCTCTACAAAAGAATATGTAAAAATTAAAAAAAAAAAAAAAAAAAAACTAGCTGGGCACAGTGGCTTGCGCGTGTAGTCCCAATTACTTGGGAGGCTGTGGCAGGAGAATCACTTGAGCCAGGAGTTCAAGGCTCCACCGAGCAATGATCATGACACTGCACCCCAGCCTGGGTGACAAGAGTGAGACCTTGTCTCTAAAACAAGACAAAACAAAAAAAATCAATTCATGGCTAGGTTTGAGGAGAAAATACTGCACTTACAAAACCTTAATGTACAAGTTTAATAATATTTCTCTATCATTTAACATAAGGAAGACTAACATAAGAAAAAAGATTTTCTAACACATCCACTTGCCTTTTTAAGCTTCTGATACCTTTCTTCTGGAGTGTCAAAACCATTTGTTAATGCAGAGACTGAAGGTCCATCACTGATTCCTAGATTTTAAGAAATAAAAATGTTTAACTTACTAATAAATACTAACGTAAAAATGCCAGTCAACCATTCAGTGCCTCTATACTGTCATATCATGAACTAAGGTTACTTGGAAGCACTCCCTAATTTACTTTTTCAAAACAAGCATTAATTTTGCTGGCCACCAGGTTAAAACCTCTAATAATGAACTTAAGAGATGTGAATGTTTCAACTTGAGAATAGGCAGTTCCAGTGTCTAAAATGTGACTTAAAACACAGTAATCATTTAAGAAAACAAACTCTATGCTTGAATAAATTTTGCTGCTTTAAAAGATTCTTGTATAAGCACACATCAATAAATCCCTAAGTACATTACTGCCAGAGTTCCAGTCTTGGTCAAGAGTTTGTAGTGGTTAATATCTATACAAAGAATGTATCTTCAAGGTAAAGGGAAAATTATTTCTGGTGAAAACTCTTAGCTTCCTAGGGAAGTGACTCCAACTAGAAACTGCTTAAAGCCAAGGATAATATTTACCCCTGCATGGATTCTTGCATGGAAAATCAGACAGCAAAAATGGATATCCATATTAAAGGGAGTGAACCGTTCATACTGACATCGACAATTTTAAAACTAGCCTTTGCTCCCCCTAAAAAAGGGAAAAAAAAATTTGCAACTTTAAGTGTCAATGAAGTATTTCCTGCATACACATCTGCTGAGGCAGGCAATGAACACGTCCACTAATTCATAAAGAAATATCTCATTTATCTGCAAAAACCTGACCCTAGCCGGTCACAAAAGGGCAAATATTGTAAGATTCCACTTATATGATATGTCAAGGGCAGTCATATTCAGAGAAAAATGGCGGTTGCTAAAGGCTGGAGGAAGGGAGCAATAGCGAGTTTAAGGTGTAAAGAGTTGCAGTTTGTGAACATGAAGAAGTCCTAGAAACGGATGGGGATGTTTGCAAAGCAGTGTGAATGTGCTTCATGCCACTTAACTGTAAAGTCACTTAAAACGGCACATTCATGTTATATCAATTTTACCATCAAGAAAAAAAAAGTCTGACCCTAATCCTCAAGCTCTCCGCAATGTACATGCCGCACTGTTTTAAGCAGCACCAAAACCATCATCTCTATCTGCAATCCTGAGTGCAATCACAAACCCACGGCATTTCATTTCTTCCGTGCTTTTGAAACGTTTAAAAGGTAACATTGAGACCTGTGAAACCCGCCCAAGGCTACTAACAGCGAGAGGCCACCATCAAGCATAAGTCGTCTGGGGCTGGGGGACTGAAGGAGCCTTGGCTACGCACCGCAAGGCGGTAGCCTGAGCTTGCGAGGGAGGGATACCTGAAAACTCCCCATCGATGGCGAAGAAGTCGGCCTCCTCTATGGCCTGGTACACTTTGTGAAGATTACTCTTAAAATCTGCGGAGAAACCGAAAAGAGGCTCAGAACCAGTGGCCTGAATTCCTGCTAAGGGGAGAGGGAAGGAGGGCCGAGGACCTCCTGAGGCTGAGAGCCGGAAGGGAAAAAGTCTCGGAGGTGTGCACCGGGGCGAAGATAATCAGGTCCTCGAGGGGTGCATGGGCAGCGGGGACAAGCCCCGGGGGGTGCCCGGGCCAGAGAAGGACAAGGCCCTGAGTGGTGCCGGGATTGGAGAAGTACAAGGACCCTAGGATGCACGGTCCGCAGCGGGACAAGACCCCAAGAGGCGCACCGGCTTAAGGAGGGAAAAGCCCTGAGGGGCTGCCTCAGCCCCACGCCCAGCCAAATAGGCCGGCCATGGTCTCGGCCTAGCAGGCCAGGGATAACGGGGTGTGGGGAGGCGGGGAGGTGCACGGCGAACACGCACTGCTCCTGATAATCTCCATTCTGCAGAGTGGCCGGAACCCCGGCCCCACACGGGCCCGCGCTCGCCTCAGCGATTCTACTCGCCGAATTCCGCGGCGACCGCGGCAGTAGCTGAGGCAGCAGCAGCCGAGACGGCAGCCGCAACTTCCGGAAACAGCGCGCGCCTGCTGCGCTTGCGTCAGCGGCTGCGTCGGCGGCGGGGGCGGGGCCAAGGCTGGGCTCCTTTCACTCCTGACAGGGACAGGGGAGGGGCGTGGCTATCGAAGTCCCCAAGGCGTGGCCTAATTTGTGCGGGCATTCACTTTAGTAGGAAAAATGTGCCTGTCTGGACATCCAGTCAACCAGGAAATACTTATTGGGGTTCTACGAAATGCCCGCCACTCTTATAGGGGTGGAGATACAGTGATGAACAGGAAAACGTGCTCCCTGCCCCATTGTAACTTAAACTTGGGGTAAGGGGAAATTCAGGCAGGAGTCAAACTTGCCATTTGGTAACACCTGAAAATCGCTATTAAAAAAAAGAGCCGGTGATATAATACAGAATAATGGGATATGGGCGCGGTGGCTCACGCCTGTCAGCCTAGCACTTTGGGAAGCCGAGGCGGGAGGCTCTGTTGAGCTGAAAAGTTCGAGACCAGCCTGGGCAGCATAGTGAGACCTGTCTCTTAAAAAAAAAAAAAAAAAATTAGGCCGGACCGGTGGCTTACGCCTGTAATCCCAGCACTCTGGGAGGTCAAGGCGGGTGGATCAGGAGGTCAGGAGTTCGACACCAGCCTGGCCAACATAGTGAAACCCTGTCTCTCCTAAAATTACAAAAATTGGCCGAGCTTGGTGACTCACGCCTGTAATCCTAGCGCTTTGGGAGGCCGAGGCGGGCAGATTACCTGAGGTCAGGAGTTCAAGAGCAGCCTGCCCAAAATGGTGAAACCCCGTCTCTACTAAAAATACAAAAAATTAGCCGGGTGCAGTGGTGCACGCCTGTAATCCCAGCTACTCCGGAGGCTGAGGCGGGAGAATCGCTTGAACCCGGGAAATGGAGGTTGCTGTGAGCCAAGATCACGCCACTGCACTCCAGCTTGGGCGACAGAACGAGACTTCTTTTCAAAAAAAAAAAGTTAAACTAAATTAAAAGAATAATGGGAGTTGTTACTTAGGTGATCAGGGAAAGCAAAGCTGAGACTCTTAGTTACTGCATTAGCCTCTGGGAATACTATGTCGAGTGCAACACATGAGGGCCGGGACTAATGGAATTGTATGTTGGTTTAGAGTTGCTGTTCTCCAATGCCTAGCACTAGGCTGACACATAGTAGACGCTCAATAAGCGTGGGTTGAATGAATACATTCAAGTTGGTCTTTCACAAAAGCCAACTATGAAAAAGTGGTTAGGACCGGGTGCGGTGGCTCACGCCTGTGATCCTGGCACTTTGGGAGGCCGAGGCAGGCGGATTGCTTGAGGCCAGGAGCTCGAGACCTGCCTGGGCAACACGGTGAAACCCCGTCTCTACTAAAACACAAAAAATTAGCCTGGCGTGGCGGCACACGCCTGTAGCCCCAGCTACTCGGGAGGCTGAGGCAGGAGAATTGCTTGAACCCAGGAGGCGGAGGTTGCAGTGAGCCATTGCACTCCAACCTGGGCGACAGAGCGAGACTCCGTCTCCAAAACAAACAAACAAACAAACAAAAAGAAAATTGATTAGAAGACCTATTTTCAAAATCTATCTCAGTCACTTATTAGTTCTGGAATGTATTAAACCATCCTAAACCTCAATATCCTGGGATTGTATTGGGGCTCAGTGGTGCTAATCAATGTGAACTGGGAAGTACCGTATTAATAACTCTGTATAAATCACTGTTTAATGGGGGCCTGGCGCCATGACTCACACCTGTAATCCCAGAGTTTTCAGGGGCTGAGGCAGGAGGATCACCTGAGCCCAGGTGTTCCAGACCAGCCTGGGAAACAGAGCGAGAACATGTCTCTATAAAAATAAAATGAAATTCTAAAATGAGCCAGGCGTGGTTGTGCACGTCTGTAGTCCCAACTATACAGGAGGCTGAGGTGGGAGAATCGCTTGAACCCAGGAGGCGGAGGGTGCAGTGAGCCGAGATCGTGCCACTGTACGTCAGTCTGGAGGGCGACAGAGCGAGACTCTGTCTCAAAAACAAATAACAACAACAAAACAAAACCAGATAATCAGCATAAATTCTAGACGCTGTGACCTAGACGCTGGGAAGGGGTGAAATGTGGTGATAAAAAAATCATTTCAAGCTGTACGAGGTGGCTCACGCCTGTAATCTCAGCACTTTGGAAGGCTAAGGCAGGAGGACCCCTTGAGGCCAGATGTTCAAGACCAGCCTGGAAAACATAGCAAGACCCCATCTCTACGAAAAAAAATATTGTAATAGAAATAAAAGTCATTTAATTCCGATTCTTAACACCGCAAATTGAACTTATAGTCCTGTAATTTTCTACACAAAATGTGAAGGCAAAAAAATAACTGTGGAGAGTACAGTGCGGTCTTGTAATATTATTTTAATTTCTAGGCAAAGCTTGTATCCTCCGGATACAAAAACAGCCGCCCAGGAGGAAAAGACACTGACACTCCCGGGTACTTGGTCTGTGGGTGAAAAGGAAGGGGCGGGACCGGCGATGTTACGCATGCGCCCACTTCTTCCAGCTGGGAGAGGCCGCTCTAGGCAGCGGGGAGGTCGCGGGGTTGAGGGAGGTTCTGAAAGGAGAGCAGCCTCTCCTCTATGGTCGCGGGTCCGGGGCACTCTCCCCGCAGTCCGTCTTGTTACTTCCGGTAGCGAAGCCATTACTTCTTCCTTTGCTCCCGCGGGCGTCCGCGCTGGGAATAATGGCTCGGTTGGCCCGGGACGAGTGGAATGGTAAGCCGCGACACGGCTGGGGTGTGCTGAGGGGGCGACCCGGGCTTGATTTCGGGGCGTGACGTGGAAACGGAGGGGGAATCCCTTCTGCAGAGCCTCCCCGGCCGGGTCACAGGAGGCGCGCGGGGCCTCTCCTCACGCAGACCCGAGTCCTGAGCATCCCCACTCCTGGCCGCGGGGTTCGGACCCCAGCTTGGCCAACCGCGCTATCCCTTCCCGAGAGCCCCACGTCCGCACAGCCGGTCCTTGGGCCTCGCCTGCGTCCTTTCGGGGGTCAGGGTCAGAGCCATTCGCTCCAGGGGCTCCCTAGGGCGGGAAGGAGGAGGTGTCGCTTCCAAAAACGTTGGAGGGGGACCTCGGGGCGTCTGCCCGCCAGGAGCGCTTGCCACACCCTGCAGCGGCCCGAGGTTCCTGATAATCGCCACGCTGAGTTTACGGTCTGATTGGCGAGGCATGTTATTGGCCCAAGGCGGAGCGATTGTGCGCATTCTTTAAAGTAAGGTGACCGAAGCGCAGAAGGGAGAAAGTGAAATCCCAAAGTCACGCTGGGGCCTGGCAAGAACTCCGCTCTTCTGATTCTGCGACTTGCGGCTCGGAAATAATTTGTGCAAAAGAGAATTTTCTTTTTTTCATTTTTGAGACGGAGTCTCGCTCTGTCGCCCAGGCCTGAGTGCAGTAGAGCGATCTCGGCTCACTGCAACCTCCGCCTCCCGGGTTCAAGCGATTCTCTTGCCTCAGCCTTCTGGGTAGCTGGGATTACGGGCGCGCGCAACCACGCCCGGCTGATTTTTGTATTTTTGGTAGAGACGGGGTTTCACCATGTTGGTCAGACAGGTCTCGAACTCCTGGCCTCAAGTGATCTGCCCGCCTCGGCCTCCCAAAGTGCCGAGATTACAGGCTTGAGCCACTGCGCCCGGCCGGGAATTTTCTTTTATTAAAAAAGCTGGCGGGAGGGGGCGACAAATGAGAGTCAGGTTGCGTCTAAACGGGGATCCTGTTAAGCCCTCAGCTGTCGCCGTTGGGTCCTCCCCGCCGAGGCCCATTGGTCCGCCCTTTGCAAGGGGTGGTCTTGATGTCACGCTCCAAATCGCCAATAGGAAAGAGCTTTACTCTCTTCCCAGGGCACACCCCCGAGCCGGCACGGACTGCACGTGCTGATGGGATTGTTTTGTTTGTTCTTGTAGCTGCTGTTCTGTCAACATCCAGCGTGGGTGTATCCTGACAGATGTGCTCTGCTTTTTCCTGTATCCATAAACTTGATGGAAACGTTGTATTTCTCCAGGGCAGTTTTGTTTGCTTTTTGGCTCCAGCGTTTGGCAGTGGCACTAAGTAGGTAGCCATCACTGAATAAATGCTGATGTTGATAATTCTGTTGATAATGCCCATCAGCCACAAAGTAAACTTTGAGTACCTATAGTTTGTCATCTAAACCTCACAACAGGGCGTGGCTCCGCAGCTCACACCTGTAATCCCAGCAGTTTGGGAGGCGGAAGTGGGAGTATCCCCTTGAACCCAGGAGACCAGACCAACCTAGGCAACATAGGGAGACGACGCTGTCTCTTTTAAAAAAATTTTTTAAGTAAACCTCCCAACAGCCCTTCGAAATTGACATTATCCTAGACGGATCAGTGGGAAATAGGAAGTTTAGGAAGAATAAATTGGGACCCGATTTGGAACCCAGATCAGTGTCACTCCTAAGACCATACTGGTTCAACTCTACCAGCCTAAGGAAATTATAGTCCAGCAGATGAGAAAACATACCCAAATAAAAGTTATGCTAATGCACAGAGACAAGAAAGATTAATTTGGGTGTTGGGGAGTTAGTCATTAAAGACTTTCAAGTGACAGTTGATTTGGGTCTTTTCAGTTGGATACTTTTGACCCAGCAATGTTGTGAAGCTGTGTTACAGATGAAGGGAACAATGTGAGGATAAGGAAAAATGTCCAAGGCTGGGCACGGTAGCTCACGCCTGTAATCCCTGCACTTTGGGAGGCCAGGGCGGGCAGATTACTTGAGCTCAGGTGTTCAAGATCAGTTTGGGATACATGGTGAAACCCCATCTCTACTAAAAATACAAAAATTAGCTCAGTGTGGTGGCGGGCGCCTGTAATTCCAGCTACTCGGGAGGCTGAGACACAAGAATCGTGTGAACCCAGGAGGCAAATGTTGCAGTGAGCCGAGATCATGCCACTGCACTCCAGCCTGGGCGACAGAGTGAGACTCAGTCTCAAAAAAATAAAAGATTGAAAACAAACAAAACCCAATAGTTAAGGTGTGGGTAACTTGGTAACTACCCATAGTTTTTGATAGCTATCTAGTTGCTGAACATCTGCAGAGTGTAGTACAGGATGGGTCCTTGAATATATGCCACGAGAAATGAAAGTGGACAGGCTACAGTGAGAGCCAGGATAGCCTTCTCAGCCCGCCCTCATCTTACTCAACACCACCCAAGGCAGTAAATCACAGGGCTTTAAGGTCTAGGCAGCAAGTTAGCATCTAGAGGAACTAGTCACCTTTGCTCTACTGGTTTCTGACCCTGTCCAGAAAAAAAATCTAGTTGGAGTTTGAAAATGCAACGTTTTATACAATAAGTGACTGTAAATGCTTCTCTTTTTTTTTTTTTTTAAGATGCAGTCCCACACTCAGCTAATTTTTATATTCTTAGTAGAGACAGGGTTTCACCATATTGGCCAGGTTGGTCTTGAACTCCTGACCTCTTTATCCACCTGCCTCGGCCTCCCAAAGTGCTGAGATTACAGGCGTGAGCCACCACGCCCGGCCACATTTGAGCACGTTTTAATTTTAGTAGTAGTCACTATAAATGGGTGGGCACTCTTTAGATATTTAATAATTTCTGTAGTATTCTGCTGGTAGTTATAGTGATGTCTCCAGGAATGGACCTGGAGTGTCAGAAATAGGGGTTTCCCCCACCCATTCCTACCCCTATTTCTATTGTAAATGTCTCTGTGTGGAACTGCATACTCACCCTAACAGCTACCAGCTAGAGTTCATGTGCCAAAATGCAGTGTGGTCAAATACTAGTTTGTTTTTCTCAGCTGTGCAGTAGCGTCTCTATGATGCGGCCTAGATGATAAAGGTGTAAATCAGTCCTTTGAACTAATAACTTATTGATTACTTTATCAGGATAATGATGTATTACGAAGACAGGCTTTAAGTCAGACCATGATTTTTTTTTTTTTCTTGTGGTGTTTCCGCCTGGTTTCCAACCAGGAACCAGACCATGATTTAAAACATGACTTTGGCCGGGCGCGGTGGCTCAAGCCTGTAATCCCAGCACTTTGGGAGGCCGAGACGGGCGGATCATGAGGTCAGGAGATCGAGACCATCCTAGCTAACACAGTGAAACCCCGTCTCTACTAAAAAATACAAAAAACTAGCCGGACGAGGTGGCGGGCGCCTGTAGTCCCAGCTACTCGGGAGGCTGAGGCAGGAGAATGGCGTAAACCCGGGAGGCGGAGCTGGCAGTGAGCTGAGATCCGGCCACTGCACTCCAGCCTGGGCGACAGAGCGAGACTCCGTCTCAAAAAAAAAAAAAAAACGTGGCTCTGCCCTTTACTAGTTAGGTCTCCACTTTCTCATCTGTAAAATAGATACGGTAGTAATATTTATTCCATATGATTGTTATGCCCTTAATATTATTTATGCCCTTAAGATTTACTGAAGGCCTCAGTAAATATTAATAATTATCGCAGGGTACAGTGGCTCACACCTGTGAGTCCCAGCACTTAGAGAGGCCACGGCAGGCAGCTCACCTGAGGTCAGGAGTTTGAGACCAGCCTGGCCAACATGGTGAAACCCCGTCTCTACGAAAAATTTAGCCAGGTGTGGTGGTGCACGCTTATAATCCCAGCTCCTCAGGAGGCTGAGGCAGGAGAATCGCTTGAACCCAGGAGGCAGAGGTTGCGGTGAGCCAAAATTACGCCCCTGCACTCCAGCGTGGGCCACAGAGCAAGACTCCATCTCAAAAATAAAAAAATTAAAAAAAAGAAGTCATTATTATCTATTGTCAGTTAATATATAATGAGAGAACTTAGCCTAACCAGAGGCCCATAGAAGCCAAAATCTTTCTATTCTTACACTGAACCTTCTTGCTAAGAAACAATTGAGGTCAGCTGGGCTCATACCATAATCCCAGCACTTTGGGAAGCCAAGACCAGAGGATTGCTTGAGCCCAGGAACTTGAGACCATGGACAACTTAACAAGACCCCGTCTGTACAAAAAAAAATTTAATTAGCTGGGCGTGGTGGCACCGCCTATGGTCCCAGCTCCTTGGGAGGCTGAGGTGGGAGGATCACTGGAGGCCAAAAGTTCAAGCCTGAAGTGATCCATGATTGCACCACTGCACTCCAACCTGGGCAACAGTGAGACCCTGTCTCTAAAAAAGAAGAAATGATTGAAATCATGTTTTTCAGGCTGGACTTCTAATAAATTAGCCCTTAAAAGGATTATTCTTAAAATATTAGCCATATACAATGGTCATAATAAATGTATGTTGAGTGAAGGGGGGGCAACCATGATCATATACTGCTGAACCAAGTGATTTAAAAATTACAGTTTCTTTTTTTTTATTTTCCCTGTGATTCTGGATAAAGATTACAATTTCTAAAGAGTTAACAATCATTACACCACAAGATCTTTATAAGTAAGGGTATAATAATGCTTAGCCTGGGTGCAGTTGCTCAAGCCT